AAGGAAGATCAAGTATATAGAAAAGAAAAATGAAGATGGGAGGCGCATGGGGTGAGGTGGGTGGGTGGATGAATGCAGGGGGAACGAAAGTGGGAGAAGGTTTGATTAGAGAAGATATTACGTCGTCAGAATTGAAGGGAATCGATGCGATGTCCCGATTCTTTTTCTTTCTCTTTCTCATTTTTCTTTTTTCTTCTATTCTTTTCTCTTTTTTTTTTTTTTTTTTTTTTTTCTTTTTCCATTTTTTCTTTTCACATATACCGATATAATAAACGTCCCTTTTTCATCCTTATCTCTACAGAAATAAATTCCTTCTGTATCGGTCCCCGGTTGGATTTTCTATGCATGTCCATCGATAAATCGGAATTCTTTAAACGTTCTTAATGCTTAACGTCGTTATGTAAAAAAAAAAAAAAAAAAAAGAAAAAAAGAAAGAAAAGAAAAGAAAAAAAGAAAATAAGAAAGAAGAAAGAAGAAAGAAGAGAAAAAGAAAGAACTTAATAGAAAAATGATTAAAAAAATAAAGAATATATATATATATATATATATATATATATATATATATACATATATGGGATGTACTGTCACGAGAGAAAATCTGTTCGTTAAATAGATAGATAGAGAAAGGTAGAGAGAGAGAGAGAGAGAGAAAGAGAGAGAAGCGATAACTTCGTTGGTAAGACCGAGACTTCTTTGTTCATCTCAACGACGACCATCGAAAGAGAGAAAAAGAGATATATATCTTTCATAGCTCGACCGCGAAAGTATTCAAATTCGTGAAAAACTTTCTTTCGTTGCGATCACTTCTATCGCGTTATCTTCGAAGTTTATTTCGTACGGGAACAAGGTCCGTCCGTGTATATATTCATCATCATCATCGTTAATTTTTCTAATCTCAGAGCTCTCGCGAGATAGAGATATCAGAATCGAGTTAGGACCGGTTCGTCATTCGTACTATCCTTCATCTTGGAGAAAGTCTCTAATCGAGAAAGGTCTTTGTACCTTGGGATCAAATTTTTCCCTGTAACATATTAGGAAGGTGTTTTTTTTCTTTTTTGCTTTTTTTCTAGCTTTTTCCTTTCTCTACTTTTTTTTTTTTTTTTTTTTTTTTTTTTTTTTTTATATATTTTTTCCTTTTTTTTCTCGCCCCGGGACATGATATTCTTAGCTCATTTTTCGGCGAGCATCGAGAATTTGTTTAAAAAAGCTGATAGAAAAGAAAAAAGAAAGAGAGAGAGAGAGAGAGAGAAAGAGAGAGGGTAGCTTCTGGTAGAATCGAGTTGGTGAGAGTCTCGTATAGTCGACCGACCTTTTTTTATGCTTTTATTCCTCACTCACTTTTCTCTCTCTCTCTCTCTCTCTCTCTTTTTTTCTCTCCCGCTCCTTTACGCGAAAACGCCTGCACGCGCCCGTAACCTGTTGTAAAAGCGAGCCGCGTAAAAATAGCGAATGCCGAGCTAGTACTTTATCCTCTTCTTCTTTCTCTGTATCAGAGAGACGGCGTTGCAGTCTCCGCTCGTGCAACGCACCGAGCAAATATTTATTCCGTGGGACGTCGACGGTACGCCGGACACATGCCGCCTCTCTCTTTCTCTATCTCTCTCTCCCTCACTCTCTCTCTTCTTTCTCTCTTTCTATATTTCTCTCTTTCTTTCTCTCTTTCTTTCTCGTTCCCTCCCTTGACAATGACGCCACCAAAATTCTTGCGGAGGTGGTCGCATCGCGTTACGAGCCAACGAACCAGATCGGCTTATTTGCACTACTCCTTCTTGAAAAATAGCAAAAGACAAGCATAAAACGCCGAGGTATTTCTACGAGGAAACATCCGATCCAATCAGATCCATTTCTCTTCTTCGTTTAGTTCGCATATACGATTGTACGCTTACTATTATCATTATATATACTCTTATATTATATATATTATTAAATTCATGGATTCATGTTAGAAATCACGTGAGATATCACGTGTTTCGATATAGTCACTTTATTCACCAATTATATTTTCATACGAAAGTATATCTTTTGCGACAATGATCGAATATGTCCTACGATCGGTAATTTCGATCTAAACATTTTTTTTTTCTATCGGAATGACGAACTTATTCTCTAATCAACGTTTCCTCTATACATACAAACATACGTACATATGTGTTTATATATATATATATATGTATATATCAAACTCGATTAAATTATATACCTTTCCTTTCTAGAAGCTCCGATATATCTCGATTCGGTCGCGTTCCCGAAGAAACACGAATTGCGTAATCATTTCAAGATCAGCTGTTTACCGGTCATTGAATTCGCAACGCCATCTATAGGCGTTTAAAAGAAACGAACCACGAATTCGCTGCTTTCTGCCGACGTGACACGACTTTGCTTGCACAGGTTTTGTTTACCCGATATTCTCCGCCCGTCACTACCTCCTCCTCCTCCCCCCACCCCACCACCCCTTATTTCCTCGCCACACTCTCCCTCATCCTCCTTTCCCCTCATCTTTACACTCCATCTCTATCTCTGTCTGTCTGTCTGTCTGTCTGTCTGCCTGTCTGTCTGTCTATCTATCTATCTTTCTCTTTCTTTCAAGTTCCATTCACTCAACGCGAATTTTTTCGTCGCTATTACATGCAGAGAGAAAGAGTGCGAGCGCATTAGCAATTTGCTTTCGCGTGAACGGGCCGGTGACGGTGACGGTGGCGGTGGAGGCGGCGGTGGGTAACGGCGGAGGAGGAGTAGGAGTAGGAGTAGGAGGAGGAGGAGGAGGAGGAGGAGGAGGCGGCGGCGGCGGCGGCGACGGCTGTCAAGGCCGAACAACGAAAGTTCGTTCTGAACCGAATCCGACGGAATTTTTTATCTGTAGTACGTACTTATCGGGGGACGCCCAGGTCTAGCTGCTTGTTTTCGCCTGTGCTATTATCGATGATGAACTTGAGGTGACCTCGAAAACTGCGCAACAACGAATACGAACGTTCTCGTATGCGTGCGTGCGTGCGTGCGTACGTACGTCTCGTTCGTATACGTGCCATACCGCTAATATGTGCGATGCGTGTAAACGAGGGAGAGAAAGAGAAAAAGAGAGAAAGAGAGAATAGAGAGAGAGAGAGAGAGAGAGAGAGAGGGAGAGAGAAAGAGAGAAAGAGTTTAACGTTCTTGCTGTAAGCTCTCTATATCGCTCGTGACTTTGCTTCTTTTCTGTTTGAAACAAAAAAAAAAAAAAAGAAAAAAAAAAAGAAAACTTTCCAATTCCCTCTGGCGCGAGATATTTTCTTTGAATTATCGTCGTTAACTCGTCGAAAACCTTCTCAAAGAAAGGGAAAAGAAAAAGTAAAAAGAAAGGATACGCTAGGCGTGTTTCTTCGACGTGATATCAAGGATCTTTTTTTTTTTTTGTTCTTACGAAAAAGCGAACAACTTCCGTGTATCAATCGGGCATGGCTACGTCATCGGTAATTTTCCGCGATAGTTACATTAAAAAGCATTCCCAATGGCCATGCGTGTTTATCTTTTTTAAATTTACTTTTACGCTAAGAAGGAAGACTCTCTCTCTCTCTCTCTCTCTCTCTCTCTCGATTTGCATTTCCCACCGGTTTTACTCTTCTTATCCCCTTTTCAGTTGGCTCGTGATAGCGCAACCACAAAATGTGTCCTATTCCCCTCTATTCCTCTCCGCCGACCTAAAAGATCAGAATCCTTGAAAATAATCTCGCGTGTACTTACTCGGCTTGGTATTTCCTCTTTTGGCGAAACATTCGCGAGTTTGACTTCTTGCTTCTTCCGATGAGAGAGAAAAAGAGAAAGAGAGAGAGAGAGAGAGAGAGAGAGAGAGAAAAAGAAAGAGAAAGCTTGCTTTTCGATTCGCGAGAGAGATCCGTGCAATCAAGGCAGAAGATACTTATATTTTTCTGAAGCCGTGTTTCAAGTAACCAACCGCCCCCTCCCTGCTGCCACCCCCCTTACACTCTCCCACGACATTTCTCTCTCCGGACCAACATCGTCACACTCTCTCTCTCTCTCTCTCTCTTTCTTTCTCTCTTCCCCTCTTCTTTCTCTCCCTCTTGCTGTGGAGGATTCGTAGTCGACCGTATGGCGGCCTATCGATCGCCGTAGCTCTCCGCGCGCTTAGAGTCAACATCAGTCATAATACAGCGCCACGGCACACGGGGGTTATTAAGAATAATACGCATCCTAGGTATATATCCTCCTCTTGGTACCGGGGCGAGGGGTGCGACGGAGAGGAGCCTGTCGAGGGGTGTTCCGTTGCCACGGTAACCGGCCGGGTAAAACCCCGCAAAGAACCATCGTCGGCCTGCTCCTGCCGTTACTGTATTGACATCCCATCTGCGCGGACGTTATTCTGCCCTTTTATGAGGCGATGGATGTACGACCATCCTGTTTCCCTCTTTTTCCTTTCCACCTCCTATCGCCACTTTGCTCCTACTCCTTCAACTTCTTCCTTCTCTCTCTCTCTCTCTCTCTCTCTCTCTCTCTCTCTCTCTATCTTTATCTTTCTCTTTCTCTCTCTTTCTGTCTTGACCAACTTCCTGGATCATTGGTGTCCAGTACCACGCTCGTTACCCGGCTCTTTGATCCACCGAACCATTCTCGTACACTCGATCGCATTTCACGCGTCGAGTTTCATCTACTATTTGTACGGATGAGATGATTTAGACAGAGGGTGCGGGCGGTGTGGGTGAGGTGAGCGGGCGTCGGTAGGGGGTTTATGACGAGGGGAGGGGACGGTGTGGTTGTAGAAGAGGAAAGAGCGTTAATAGGACATTGCTTTTATTTCCGTTCTAAATGATTCCATCGATGCGGACATACGCGATGAACACGAACATACACGCAGTTACGCGTTTATATATATATATATATATATATATATATGTATATATGTATATATACAATGCATAAAGAGAGAAAGAGAGAGGCATATAGAGACAGACAGACAGGCACATCCGGTTGGACTCAGCCCCCTCCTCTTTGGTTGCAGACCGGGAGGTCGCCGAGGAGGACGGGGGTTGGCAGTCCGCCACCAACGGCGAGAACCAACAACAATCCGGGCAATCGAGCGAAATTACAGGCTCTGATCATTGCGAGGTGGTCCAGGAGAACCACCAGCAGCTGCCGATAATCGATCTCTTAGATGGCATTAACGATCACGTGCAGATCGTCCTAAAATCGGAGCCCCTGTCTCCGAAGATCAGCGAGCTCGAGTCTTGTCTTCTTTCGCCGGAACACGACGAGTATAAGACGAACGATCATTACGATCAATATCATCCTCATTATCGTCAGTCGCAACAGCAACAACAACAACAACAACAGCAACCGCAACTGCAACAACTACAACAACAACAGCAGCAGCAGCATCATCATCATCATCATCAACAACAGCAACAACAACAACAACAACAACAACAACAACAAAACAACCAACATCACCGTTATCCAAGCCAGGAGAGACTCGTAGCCAATCTATCGATTGGCGATCCCCGTTGGTTCTCTCAGGGAAACGAGCCGGCTCAGCCGGTAGCGAAAGTCCGTGAGGTATCCCGAAGGAACGCGGAACATGAGTTTAAGTTCTCAGGCCGATCGATCGGCGGCACTTACTGCAGCTTCTGTCAGAAAACCTTCTCTCGCGCATGGTCTCTTCAGAGACACCTCGCGGACACGCACTTCTATGTACCGCAATCGTTGTCCTGCGATCAGTGCGGGAGAATTTACAAGAGCAGGAACAGCTTGGTCAGTCACAAGAGCCAATATCACGCGAGGAAGGAACGCAAAGATCACGATATCCATTGCGAACTTACATATTGATCCCACGATAGATCACTATTATCGCTAATCGCATAGAGAAATTATATTTTCTCGCGATTGACGCGCGATCTTTAGTGTCGAAAATCTCTCTAGGTTCGCTATTTTGTAAATATTAGACCATTTTTTACTTGCTCGTCGCGATAACGTTGGCTATCTCGGTTCGGAGGTAACGCGCGGATCGCGAAAGTTCTTCGTCCGTCCGTTCGTCCGTCCGTTTTCCTCGTTCTCTCGTTCGCTAAGAATTTTATAATAATAAAAGTTTATTCCTCGTTAAAATATATCCGTTCACAGCAGCTAGTCCGTTCGTTTTATTTATTATTATTATTATTATTATTTTTTTTTTTTTTTTTTTTTTTTAATATTAGTTACCACAAAAACCAAAGAAACTTTTTCATTTTTCCCTTTTATTACCTTCGTTTCTCCTTTTTATTATTATTATTTTTTTTTTTTTTTTTGTTTAATGCTATATTATATCGAGAAAATACTGAGACTACAATTTTTTTTTCAATCGATTCCATGAAAATATTTCGCCTTATCGTTTATATTATATACGAATTATTGTTACTGCAGCTCGATGGTAACGTGAGCTTTTTAATCCACGCTCAGAATAAATCTTTTGTCGTTTTAGCTCTGAAAGAGAGGGAGAGAGAGAGGGAGAGAGAGAAAGAGAAAGAGAGAGTTCCACGGATACGTTGCTCGTAGCCCATACGATAAGCGCCTATGAACCTTTATCGGTTATCAACTTTTGTCTCTGAGCGCCACCTCGTACGACTATTCGGTATCAGAACGCCGAAATACTGTTTCCAGGAATTAGACACTTCGTCTTGTTAGTGTCCGTGATTCGATCCCCGTATTCTTTCGAGTTATCGGAATTACCATTGAGACACATTAGTTTAGTTTCCAACAAATGCATGTCATTTGGATGATATATATATATATATATATATATATATATATATATATTTATAAAGAATATGCGTATCTTTCAGTTCAAGCAAAGTCGGGGTGCTCCGTATTAAAATTGGTATATGCTAAATTAACAAAGTTTCTCGTACGATTCGTGATCTAATTTTATCGGTTTACTTATACGGAATTACGAGAAGTTCGACCATTATCTTGGACGTTAACTGCGATATTATCTGGAGTTTTGGTACATCGATCATTAGCGATTTTGAACAGGCTGTCGAACGAACTAATCGGGCGGTATCACGTGTAGAGATAACATTATTTATTCGATAGAATTGCATCGGATTACGTAGTACGATCGGGCAGTCAATAATAGCGCATCAGTCAATTTCAAATCGATAGGAAATGGTTCACCTTCCATCCATCTCTTATTATCTTATTATCGTACAGAGAAAAATATGATTATCTATCGCAAATATTGATTTTTTTATCGAATGTACGACAGTACATTCTCTTATTCTGGCATACGTATGATTAATTAACCGATTGTTCTATGATACGAGCTTTCGTTCATTGTTCGTCACATTTCGAGATATATAGATAGAGGAGATTTTTATTACACAATCATATATATATATATATCCATCCCTTCCTATATAATAGGATAACTTTAGTGAAAAAGGGAATTCTCAATTGGTACGCTGTTATTGACTGGTTTTACAAGTGCCCCCTCCCGTCTATGTATATATATATATATATATATATATATATATATATATATATGTATAGATAAAATACATGCATACATACATAGATAACAGGCGCGAGTTAGTTGTTTTCCAAATACCACGAATCGGTGAAACGCAAACCGATTCTCCAAATTGCGCTTGAAATCTTCGAATGGCTCTCGATGACCCTGGTGGTGCCCTTGTGTCCTGTGGATTTGCGGTTCGTTCGTAGAGGTTTATTTTTTTCACGCATTCCGCGTTCAGAAAAAAAGAAGAGAGAGAAAAAAAAAAAGAAAAAGCGTAACTCAAAACAAGATATAACGGATTGAAATTGGTTGGCATTTAGTTATCATAATGGAGATCGAATCATGGCAATTAATTTGTTCCATTTAAATCGTATACTAAGTAAAGTTAACAAAGCAATGTACCTATCACGGTGTAAGCGTCGTTAATCAATGATGAAATAAAAAGCATTTGAAAATGGATATAAGGACGTCTCACTAATTAACCAATCGAACGAAGTTGGATGAGTGGAGCGGGTAGGTGGGGTTAGGGATGAGGGGGGGAGAGATTTATGTCTTATCATTTAGCGAGGGTAGATTATGCGATGTCGCTTGTCTTAGACATTATCGTTCTTATCGCCTTACGCGTATTATTGCTATCGATAAGAAAGAAAAAAAAAAGAAAGAATAAGGAAAGAAAGGGAAAACTATCCGACGAATCATCGTTAAGAAATACATACATATCCTATGTATGTATATAAAATATAGATGCATACATATGTACATTATATATATATATATATGTATGTGTGTGTATATATATATATATGTGTATGTGTATGTGTATGTGTAGTATATATATACACATATACACTGCGTATTCCACGTTTCTCTTTTCATCGCAACATCAGACCATTCAAATCGACGATAATCTATATCACACCTGTATATAAATAGTAACACACGTATACCCACAATAAGACTACACTGCTACTATTTCGCTGTAAATAATACGCATCGATCTCCATGGATTACATCCTCTGGTGCTCGGAAAATTACTAACGTCATCGCTCACGATCGTTCGCTGGAATCTTGGAATTGCTTGTACCTTTCTACCACTACTGTACTACTGTAATGCGCTAAACAAAAAAAAAACCAAAGCAACAACAAGCACAACAACAGCAGCAATAAAAAAAAAAAAATCAGCACGGATCTCGGAAGACGAGTCGTCCATCATCTTCCTTACGCGGAAGTGCCTCATTTTTTTTTCTCTTTTTTATCGTTTATTTTTTTTTCCCCTTTCGACTGAGAAAAAGAGAGAGAGAGAGAGAGAGAGAGAGAGAGAGAGAGAGAGAGAAGGGAGAGAACGAGAACAACGATTTGCAACTACCAATCGTCATAGCGTAACAAATATTTACATCACGCTTTAATAATAAGGTCTACTTTTACGAAGGCCACGTGTTCAAGCAAAATAGTTTCTATAATGATGCTCGAGATAAAGTTATTGAGAAAAGTGAATAGGAATGATCTTGAAATTCGATTTTGAGGCACTTCCGATGGAAAAGCACGACGACGCGCCGTAAACGAGAGAGAGAGAGAGGGAGAGAGAGAAAAGGTGTGAGAATGAGAGAGAGAGAGAGAGAGAGAGAGAGAGAGAGAGAGAGAGAGAGAGAGAGAGAGAGAGAGGGTGAGCATGTGTCGAATTACGGCGGTAGCACCTGCTGGCATAATGTTTTACGTGGTTTAAGTGTAACTGAGGACTATTTGGGCACGGCTTAGTTGGGTGAAGGTACAGCGTGGGCGAGCATAAACTCTGACGTTCACGGATTTCCATTTGTGAAGGAAAAAAAAGAATTCACGAAAAAATAAAATCAATCAAAAGTAATCAAATGTAAGAAACGGTGCGCGTAATGATGAAACGACGAGATCGCGAGGAACGGAGAGGGAGAGAGAGAGAGAGAGAGAGAGAGAGAGAGAGAGAGAGAGAGAGAACACGGATCACGTGATACCGTGAGAGAGAACGATAGAGAGAGAAAGAGATGAGAGAGAGAGAGAGAGAGAGAGGCGAGAAAGAAAATGTCTCTCTTCTTCTTCTTCCCCTAGCCCAAAAATTAAAAAAAAAAAAAAAAAAAAAAAAAAATAAATAAAAAATAAAAAATAAAACAAAAAAAAAAATAAAAAAAAACCAAACCGTGCTACCGACGTCCGAGCACAAAACCAAAGTAACCCTCTGTCTGGTTCTGCCGCCAGGTCTGTGGGCCGGCAGCGGCGGCGCGTCCGATGAGTTTCGATGCGAGCCTTGCAACAAAAACCTGACCTCCCTAACGCGGTTGAAGCGGCACATACAGAACGTTCACACGAGGCCCAGCAAGGAACCAATCTGTAACATCTGCAAGAGGGTTTACTCCAGCCTGAACAGCCTAAGGAACCATAAGAGCATCTACCATCGGCAGCACAGTAAGAACGAGCAACAACGGAAGGAGGAGGAACAGATACAGAGGGAAAGGGAGCAGAGAGATCACAGCGATCGTTTTGGACATCAACAACAACAACCTCAATCGCAACAACAACAGCATCAACAGCAACAACAACAACAGCAACAACAACAACAACAACAACAACAGCAACAGCAGCAGCAGCAGTAGTAATCCCGCAGTAATCACGCAATAAAATCACTCGTAACGAATACGAGGATTTTGCCTTTGTCCTCTATTAACTTGTGAACGCGAGAGTGATTCCAAGGATTCTAATGGGCGAACGAGAGATATAGAGATACATAGATGAATAGACCGAGACGAGAGAGATAAAGACAGTCTATTTTAAATATTGCGAAGTTATTGAAACAAATCGAAACGAAATCTAACAGTTTCCAAAACATAATGGGGGAAAATTCTTCTCAGAAGCCTTGTCCGTACTTAATTTCTAAACCACCATTATCCACCCACCCACCCCCTAATGTTTGTTGTGCGATAGTCTGTTTGTGGGTATACGTATGCGTTATATTACTATATACATTCGGGTGAAATAGTCGAGCGGGCAAAACGATGTGATAGTAGACGGTAGTTGGATTAATTTTTAGTATCACACAAGAATACGATTAGATCGTAACCGATCTTGAGCGATATACGACTTTAATCGTACTTTGTACATAGACGATATGTATATTATGATATTTCTTAGATATATTGAAATGCTATTGCGAGAAGGAGAAAAAGGTAAAAAAGAAAAAAAAAAAAGAAAAGAAAAGGAAAAAAAAGAAGAAACGAAAAAACGATACTCTACTCCACCTTCGGCGTATTTTCAAAAAATACCCCCAAGGGTATGGATAGAAATTAGTTGTTATTTTTTTATCGCGTAGACGAAACCGAGAAACGTGGACGCGTTTACCCGATCGTCCTTCTCTGATAAGTCACGTGACAAGTCACAGTACAAAGAAATATATATATATATATATATATATATACATTTATATACATACATATATATATATATAAATAATAAAAAAAATATATATATATATAATAAAGATATATAGCGAACATACGTACCTAATACGTATATATCTAATTGTAGTGCATTTAACGATTTTCGAAAAGTTTTGTCGATAAACTCGTGTTGAAAAAAAAAAAAAAGAAAAGTGGAAGGAAGTAAGGAGAGATTTTTTTGGTTTGGACGTACATATACAGATACATACATATATACATACATACATATATACA